ATTATTTTTTTTATTGTATTTATTTTAATAATATGTGATGTATAAACTATAAAATATTTAATTACTATGATTTAACCCCTTAATGCATATTGTACCATATGTGGCACATACTGGTTTTTTATTATTTGTGTCTAAAATAATTGAAATATTCCAAAACTGCATGCATGGCCAGATTYGGCACGAAAAGGCATATAAAAACTATGTAAGGTGCTGCCCTCTAGGATTAAAATTGTGCTGGCTATTACGAATAACATCATGRATATAATAATTATCATGTTATCAGTTGTGTTGTTGATTTCAAACAATGATAAGACATTTTTAAACGTGACTATTATGCATGGTGTGTCAAATATGGCACTTACAAAAATATTGATAAGTGACTATTATGCATGATGTGCCATATTTGGTACACAATAAACTTTACATTATAACTTCCAAATTTTTAACTTTAAATTTTTTTTATTTTTTTTCCCATAATCAGGAGAAAATTTTAATTGGGATTTTTTTCCAGTCAAAAATAAAAAATCATGCAGAAAGGGGTTAACTATAATTTACTTAACAMAAATATTGATATTTAAAAAAATTGTAAAAAATTCAGCAATTTGACTTAAATAAGTGTTATTACCATAGACATTTTTCTGAAAATTATATTTACAAATTGGCTTATATTTTCAGTATTAAAAAATAAAAATAAAAAATGTAGCGCAAGTGTTCATGAATTATATTTAAAAAAAWTTTTTTTTWAATATTGATTAGAACAAAAGTTATTTCATTTGTCAGATCTCCGTGGGACACCCAGGCCGATTGTGACGAGATCTAGCATTTGGCCTGTTTTTGGAGCTCCATGGCAGCAGGTATCAAACTATATAAGTATTCGGCACGGGTTTTTTCCGCTGGGTGCGTCTGCAGCCACCAGATTCGGGTGGACGATTCGTTTAATTTATGCATTGTTTCCCAAAATTGGTAACCCTGGGTAACGTCTATACACGCGTTCGCAGCCAACTCCAATCCGACGCGGTCAGCTTCCGTTTCATGAGACCTTATCGTAGCCAGCTTCACACACACATGTAATATAAATTGAAACATTAAAACTGCCAATATTGACTGAGAGAGCGGCAGCGCAACCGCTAAGACCATGGATACAGGTAACGCGCACAGTAGATGGACCACTAAATTTACGCTGTTATAATGGTTCATGTGCCGGAGCACGCAATGAGCCAGCTCATGGCCGATTATTATCGATAGCTGATCGTCGTTAGCAAAGGCCGCCAGTCCAGAGAACACAAAAATGAATCCATTGCMCGCGACAAATGCGTTTATTATCGGGGTGTCCACAACCACCACACTCCAATGGCGGTTACGGATTTCATCGATCTTCAAGTTGGCGTTCAACAGACGAGACGTCACGCCAGCCACACGTTTATGTGTAGGATGTTCGATTTCCAGTAGGCAACATTTGCTCATCGCGCCCAACATACTAGCCACCTCTTTGTCGGCTTCTACTTCCAACATCCGTTCGTTGAATATGAACAGTCGCCACATGTTCGTCCATGGGTCCAATTCCATGTTAAACGACAGGAACGTTCCTATTAGACATAGTCCGGTGGTTATTGTCATGCTAATGGCTAAGCGGTGTTTCCAGGCCATATCCTTGAAGAGTCGTCTCGTTTCAGGAGCGCGCTTGAACCACCAGGACCGCACCGCCAGACCACTGATTACTGATAGAATCAACGAAAAATCACGCCTACTCGTAGTATGACTGTAAATATGTATTAAAATAATATTATTATTGCTGTAGTGGAAATATTGTTAGAGCCATTAAAATTTCTATTTTTCATAAAATATTTCTTTAGCATAGTAGTAAGGTGAAAACCATAATTCAAATTACATTAAATAGCTGTAATATCAGCAGTAGAATATTTAATTACTCGATATAACTCGAAGCGTTTTTATTATAAGAGCTATTGCAAAGAATCATCATATATACATACCATAGACCATAGTACATAAAATAGTCAGTTATGTTAATATTACAATACTCTTTTAATTTAAATAGATTACCAGACGTGATTTCGCATCAGTAGAGCTTGTTTTGGTATTTTCAGCGCGGGATTCAGAGTCTTGCAATATGGCAAACTACTCATACGACTGATATGTGACATTGAGTATCTTGCGGTTTGAATTGACAAGAACGAAACATTTCTTGAGAGAAGTGAAGAAAACATTTTGTAAATAATGTCAATATATTTTAAATAAAGCAAAACTTTTGGTATTAAATCTGAAAAAATATAAACAAATATAGATACGTATCGTAGCTAGGAAACGCATTTTCTCAAATATTTATTATAAAGTTTGTCAACAACGTTAATACTTACGCGGCAAAAAGAAATTAGTTGATAGAAATATTATTATGGGTATTTATTGTAACAATTTGATGAAATCATTTTTACCTAAATCCTGATTTATTGGTTAATCAAACCAATCATGATCGAGGTATAAAAATATAACACAATCTTTCAATTTATAAAATAATTATTAATTTCTTCATCTCTTAATGGTCTTGACTTGCGTCTCTCCATAGGAATATTTATCAATAATTGATGATTTAGAATTAAATAATTTAGTATAAGATTTAGACGTATTTAACGATGAAATATTTAGTGAAGGCGAAAATAAAGAATTAAAAACTGACCCTATAACTATTGATTTATTAAATAAAAGTTTAGGGTTAATTAATTTAGAAGCGTTTGAAAATAGTCCTTCTACTACCGGTCTACATATAGTGAATTCATAATGAATATATACCAACAAAAATAATAGTAAAAAATAAAATGCTAGAAAATAGTGAAATTATGAAACCTAAAAGTGCCATCGACACAATAAAATTAATTCAATCTTATTCAGGTTAAACTGAGATACAGTAGAAATCGGTTATTACGAGTTCCGAGGACTAGCTAGTTTTTTTTGTTATAACCGGTAGCTCGTTGTATGCGGTTACAACGAGCATTTGTTGTAAACTTGCAACCGATTAAAAACGGGAAATACAAATTTCAAATTTTTCAAATTTTTTATTTTACTTATAATCGATATTAATACTGAATTAATACATACATTTATTATTGACTATTATAATTGGAGATTTAATACTTTACTTATCAACACATATTACTTGAACATGATTATTAAACATTTGAATTTAATTTCTTAAAATAATCTTTGATCGAACTTTGCCTCGTTTATTTAGTGTTAATCGGTGTTTCTAATAAAGACAACGCTTTTCTTTCAGCATCTGTACCTTCATATTTTGTGTGACAACATCTTTCTAGTGCCCTCAATGATGCATTATGAGCTTCGGATATTGACAGTGCAGTTTCCAACTCATCACACCCGTCGATGTTACATTACGCTGAGCTTTATACAGCACTTTTATGACATCCAAAACAGTTGTTTTCGATTCTACTTGATTCTCAATATCCTCAATCATTTTCAGTACCARCTGATTTCGGTAATGAGCTTTAAAGTTCCTCATAACGCCCTGGTCCATCGGTTGAAGTAGTAACCTGTTCGTAGCAGCTGGAAGATCGTCAGGGGCGGATTGGCAAATTTTTTCGGCCCATTCATCGAAAATGTAACTCTCCCCCTCWCTCTTTCCCTAACCAWAAAAACACATGGTTTTACTTAAATTTCAAAATGAATTTAGTTTCACCCTTAAATCAATAAAATATATAATACTTATATTTAAGCTACCTATACCAGTAGTGCGTTAGTCAGATAAGTTTAACCTGTTCTAACTTGATCTTAAAGTTTGATCTTACTACACTTTTAAATATTTATTTATTTATTTTTTATTTATTTAAAATTACAATGTTTCAACATATTACAG